AGAATAGAATAGAATAGAATAGAATAGAATAGAATAGAATAGAATAGAATAGAATAACAAATTGGAAGGGTCCTTGGAGGTCTTCTAGTCCATCCCTCTGCTTAGGCAGGAAACCCTACACCACTTCAGACAAATGGGTATCCAATCGGTTCTTTAAAACTTCCAGTGTTGGAGCATTCACAACTTCTGGAGGCAAGTTGTTCCACTGATTAATCATTCTAACTACCAGGAAATTTCTCCTTAGTTCTAGCTTTCCTCCTTGATTAGTTTCCACCCATTGCTTCTTGTCCTCCCCTCAGGTGCTTTGGAGAATAGCTTGACTCCCCCTTCTTTGTGGTAACTTAGATATTGGAACACTGATATCATGTCTTCCCTAGTCCTTTTAGTCTTAAATCAGTTAATTCGTAGGGAATTTCCCAAAGTAATTAGAAATTAGCAAACCCAATGTCCTTAAAACAACTCCTATCAGTTGGGATAGTGATAACTTTTGTTCATCTCCCAGTGCTCAAGCCCATGGAAGCTGCTGACCTGCAAAGAGCAGCTGTCAAGAGCACAGGTGGGCGATCTCCTGTCCTCTTGTTATCCCAGAGGTCTCCAAACTTGGCAACTTTAAGCCAGCTGCTGGCTAGAGAATTTTGGGAGTTGAAGTCCACAAGACTTAAAGCTGCTAAGCTTGGAGACCTCTGCCTTATCCAGAGCAGTCCTGTGGGGCCAGTTCTTCTTGCCAGTCTTTTGTTGTGGCCACAATGTCATCTCCACTTGTTTGGAGATGTGCTGACTTGCTATTCCTCACTGAGAAGTCTCCCAAAATAATAGTGAACTTTACCAGGGACATTAGCAGGTAGGGAATCAGACCATCACAAAGTAGAACCACTACGTCATTTGAGTTAGAAAGCATACTTTTATTTTGGTGCAATTTAAAGTTGCACACTTAAGGCTTTATTAAGAATATACTTTTTTCTGTGCTCCTATTGACTGCGGTAGACAAAAGTTTGCATCACAGTTCGTGAGATTTTTAGAGTTCACAAGATTTGTATATTCACTCCAAAGAAAAACAAAAGAACAAGAAGCATAATACAATTCCTCTGGAAATGAGCAACATTGTGCAGTATCTTTCCAAAATAGGGTGTATCATACAACTATATCAGGGTTTTTTTTTCAATTAAAATAAAATCCCACTTAATGAAATTTTACCTTTGTTTAATCTTTCTAGATGGATCTTCTGCTAACGGTAGCAAATCACAATAACATTTACTTTTGTGGTAAATGGTAATGCTGCCTGGGAAGAAATATACAGAAATCTTATACTTACGAATCTGATTTTTTTTAACAAAACATTGTAATGATTTAGGATAAAGCATCTTTCAGAATAGTAAGAAAGCTTAACTTAGTGTGAATGTTTTGCACCTCTTGCTTATTGTACTTGCTGTTGATTTGATTAACTGTGATGGATGGAATAATGTGTGGAAGAACATTTATAATTCTGTTGCAATTGGTATACCATCACTTAGTAGATGTTAAGCTGACTGGACTCTTAAGCACTGTAGAAGCAGAAGGAAGGTATAAAAATAGCACAGCCCATAGATTAATGAAGTTCAATTGTGCTTTGGCAGCATTTAGGGAATTTATTGACACCATGATAAGTGGTTCAGTCAAAACCCTGAAAAGACTGTGGCATAGAAATGTCTGATACACTTGGCCCTGTCCAGGTGATGCAAAGCTCTCATACAGAATAGTTAAACG